TCTATTTATTCTAAAGGTTAGCTTTAATTGAAGTATTATCTTTTTCCATTATAACTCTTCCATTTTCTTCTTTGCTAATAGACTATTTCTCTGTTTGAACTTTTTTTTTCTTTTTTTCTATAACTCTTTGTATATTTGTTGTACGTCAGATGCATCTTTGCGTCAGATTAGATCCAACACACGTCAGATATCGATTTTTATATGATGCACATTACCTGTCAATTGGCCATCTGACATGCGTAAGTTCTAATCTGACGCAAAATCTTCAAAATTTAAAAAAAAAAAGAAAATATAATAATGACTATGTAATAATGTTATTATGCGTAAGCCTATAAAAAAAAAACCCCTTTGCTTTGACTTGTTTTCTTTTTCTTGAAACTTGGCATGATCAACGTTGGCTATATATCTCTCATTAGCTTTTATATTCAACATTGGCTTTTGCATTCGATGTTGGCTTTCATATTCGATATTGGCTTTACATCACATTCAGCATTGATAGTGCCTACTAATTTCTTCACATTCATTATTGGCTTAATTTTTTGGTGCTACTTATTATTGGATTTCAGCATATCTTCATTTTGCAGTACTTTGTCATATCATAATTTTTTTTTTAGCCTTATTATAGCTCTGAACTTGTTCTTATCTTCTTTAAGCATTGCAATTTTTCTTTGGTGCTGCTTTATAATTTTAGTTTTGTTCTTGCCTCATTTAATCATTTGCTTTTTTCTTTGGCATGCCTATAATTTGATCTTCTTTAAATATTGGCTTTGTTCTTTGGTGCTGTTATAAGATCAAGTTATAGGCACACCAAAAAAAAAAGCAAATATTTAAATAAGGCAAGAACAAAAACAAAATTATAAAGCAGCACAAAAGAAAAATTGCAATGCTTAAGGGTAAGAACAAATTCAGAACTATATTGTTAAGGCTAAAAAAAAAAAAAAAACTACGATGTGACAAAGTGCTGCAAAATAAAAACTCACTGAAATCCAAGAATAAGTAACACCAAAGAATTAAGCCAATGCTGAATGTGGAGAAATTGCCGAATGTGATATAAAGCCAATGCCGAATGCAATATAAAGCCAATGCTGAATGCGATGTAAAGCCAATGTCGAATACGAAAGCCAACGTCAGCTGCAAAAGCCAATGTCGACTATGAAAGCCAACAAGAGATGTAAAGCCAATGTTGATCAAGCCAAGTTCTAAGAAAAAAGAAGGCAAGAAAGGCAAAGTCAAAGGAAAAGTTTTTTTTTATAGCCTTACTTATAATGATGTTATTATATAATTGTTATTACATTTTTGTTTAAACTTGCTTTAACATTTTTTTTTTTTTTTAGATTTTGAAGATCTTGCGTCAGATTAGAACTTATGCACGTCAGATGGCCAATTGACAGGTGACATGCGTCATATGGAAATCGACATCTGACGTGCGTCGGATCTAATCTGACGCAAGGATGCATCTGATACACAACATATATAAATATGATCAATTAGAAAAAATTTTTTTCAGGCTTTTTTGAATTTTATATTCTGCTTAAGATCTACCGTTTCCGACAGAGAAGGGAATGGTTATGATATATTTCTTAAGTAAAAGCTTCAGCCGCTAGAAGCCTAGTGGGCATTGGAACACCCTCCTAAAGTCGAAACTCCCTCCTAAAGTTTGATACACCCTCCTAAAGTTTGATACACCCTCCTAAAGTTTGGTACACCCTTCTAAAGTTTGATACACCCTCCTAGAGTTTGATACACTCTCCTAGAGTTTGATACACCCTTCTAGAGTTGAAACATCCTCAAAGTATTGCTTTTTTATTTGGGACGTTATATCAACATAGTATTTATGTTGGTATAACGTCCCTTTTTTTTTTTCTTTTTTTCGAGTCAAACTTTTAGCTTCGAAACATTACAGTATTTTTACATGGTATAGAAACAAGTATTTCCATCATTGGTGTCATGTCTTTTTTCTTTCGTCGTTTTCGGTTCTTTTTATTTTGTGGTTTTTATACCAGTTCTTTGTAAGTATTTTAATTTTTTTTTTGTTGTATTTTGTTTTTTTTTTTTTTTTTTTATTTCATTATTCATTATTGCCTTGTGCTAGAACTCACAAAACGGCATTTCTGAAATATATGTTACCTCATTTGTTTGGGTGCTGATACTAAGGTAGAAGTTAATGTAGATTTTAGGGTTATGCTATAAATGTTGGAGTAGACATTAGATGCCAAATTTGCAAGCTGTAATGAAAATAAATTAGATAATTACATTTGATCAATCAAATAAAACACAAAAAAAACTTAAATCTGTTATGTTGAAAGTATTGAATTTTAATTTATTTTTTTTAATCGATTATTAGTAAATTTTTATGCCAAATAAATTTAAACTATTTTATATTAAGTGTGATAAATTTTTAATCAATTAATTCCTTTATTACACAAAGGAAATTAAACATAGTCCTTTGCAAAAAAGTATTGATTTTTGATCATATTAATTAAATTTATCCAGTGAAAATGAGGATTTAAATCCAATATCTATAATAATAGTAAAGTTCATTACATCTGAAGTATTGAATTAAACAGATTTATGTGCCAGATTGAGTTGTAAAAACCTCACGATTACCAATAGATGTTACCATGTTCATCATCAGCTAACAGAATATTTAATGAATTAGATCAATTTCTTATCAAATATAAAGAAAATTTATAAAAAAGTTCAAAAATTGACTTAATGAAGAATTGAAAATATCCAGTCTAAAAAAATTTAGTCAATTATACACTATATATATAATTCAGAATTTAATATGTTATTTTTGTACAGTATAAATGTTATACGTTGGAAATAAACATAAGTTGATTCTAAATACACTTAAATTTAAGTATATCTTTTTTTGCCGGTTATAAAAATTCATAGTATTGTATCATTATCAATAAAATCAATTATTTTTTAAACAAAAGTAAAAATCGCGGCTCAGAATATAGTTAAGGAATTTTGAAATAGAGTTGGGTATATTTAATATTACAAGCTTGTAAACGTAGGTTTAGCAAAATTTTATTCTAAAGTATAAGCAAAAACTTTATAAAAATTTTCTTGGTTGTATCAGAAGTACTTATTTTCATTAATGGTTTAGATTATTTTCGATTATTTTTTACTAGCAAAAAAATTCTGGAAGTGCATTAATAAAATACTTTCGCTTAATAATTTTAATTTTTTTTCTTTTTTTATTGAAGAAAAAGTAAAACGTTTTTGACTTGTAGTTGTGCTAAAGTATGTAAAGACGGATTTTATGTGTCCAAGTACAACTTGGAAGAGAAATTAGAGCTCTTTTTAACATATTACGTAATGCGAAAGAAGTTTATTTTATTAGCTGATCTCTTCAGGGCTGATGATTTTCTGCATTCCACGGAAAGCCGCAGAAATCACGGGATAGACCGTAAACGCCGGTCAATATCACGGGTTGTAGGTAAAATATAGCTTCTGAAAGGTCCCGACATAGAAAATAAATGAACCTAAAATACGAGTAATCAGTGTTAATTTTTCAATTAAAATTTACTGTGCGGATGCCGCACAATTTATAGATCTTTCTGTGCGGCATCCGCGCATCTATTCAAAAAAAGTGTGCGCAAAATTTTGTTTCTGTGTGCTGCGCACAGTCCGCACAGTGAAAAATTATCACTGCGAGTGATAATCCGAAGAATAAGCTATAATAAGTTATAAAATTGTTGCAAAATTCATAATTATTTCAACCATTTTTTTATTAGTTATCGTGCAAACTCATGATCCTAGATTTTTGTTATTTTTTGTACGTTCGATATTGGATCATGCGATGATGAATTTGGTCTGTCACAAATTTTGAAATTGATCCAAAGTCAACTAACTAAATCGATATTGAACCTGTACATTTCACTATACTGCTTTAGGTCAATTAACTCTTTATTAATATATATTTACTATAATTAACACCATATTTTACGTTGTTTTCGCAAAGATGTTGGAATGTTTTAAGCTTATTTGCATTACAGACTGGATTGTCTTAAATGAATACTTTATTTTATATGTAATAAAATGAAATTCTAAAAATTTTTAAAAATTGAATCAATTGCTTATTTGAATAAAATCCTAGACATAACCCAAAACCTATTTTTAAATTTGTTACAGAGTTGTTAGATGAAACCTACGGGTTTCATAATTACAAAAGACGAAACTATGTTTGTCTTTTACCCAAAAAATTTAAAAAGACGAAACAGCGAAATTGACAAAAGATGACAAAACCGATGAAAGGTGGCAAACTAACAAAAAAGGACGAAACTCAAACATCTAGTATAATGATAATAATGCACTTTAAACTGAGAATATCAATTACCATATAACATAAGAGGAAGCGTTATCATTATCATCATAGAGCATCATGGGTACGTATTCAATTTTTGCTTGCTTCACCTTATTTTCATCAACATTCATATTCTTTTCCTTGTCTGTTCATCATCACAATCACTTATTCTGTATAACGCTTTATTATTATACTCAAATAGCGATCAGTCAGAATACGCATCAAAAAGGACCAGTACATTACAACAAAAGAAAGAGAGCAACAAACCCGGACATTGAAGCTGTGGATTCTAGATTTCTTCTGTCATAGAAGGTGGTGAAAAACTTGGTGATGGTGATGGTGATGGTGTTACGAATCGTAATTTAAAAGGATGAGGTGTAGTGTTTCTTATTTGAAAGTCATTAAGAGTGGCATCTTCTACTGGTTTTTGTTGATATCTGAAGGGGACAAGACTGAATATAATGCCCTACTTGCTGTATAACACAATTCTACATCCCTCGCTTGCGTCGTTTTCAAAATTTCAAACCTTTCTTTGTCATTAAGTATATAGTAAAGTGGTGTGATGTGAAAACGCAAATCAGGATGGCATATGAAAATCATATACAAGACTCGGTCTCTTTCATTCCATCAAAAAAATTGATTAGTAAAAAAAAAAAAAAAAAACAGTACCATTACAGTGTTGGCGGACATTTGCCAATAATTTAAAAAAATATTGGACATATAAAATTTTATATGTCCAATCGTTTTCAAAATCATTGGACATATATCCAATGCTAGCATTGAGTACCATACCATTCGTCATGCATTACACGAAGAAGACTTGAGATCTTAATTATTGGCTTACTAATTGGGTTTGTTTCTCCTGGTCTTGATGTCAGATTATGCTGCCGCTTGTGTTAGAGTTAAAGAAGAACCTATAGACTATTAAGCTGTAATTGGTTTAAATATTAGAAAAAAAAAAATAAAAAAAAATAAACTTTCGGATTTTCTTACAAATAAAAAAAAATTAAAGTTCTGAATTTTTTGCATAACTTCTTTGCGACCTAATGAAATTGCACGAAATTTTAGAATATTGTACCTTGAGATCTACCAGATACCTGATAAAAATTTAGTACTGCGTTTACTTACCCGATTTTAAGAGATGTAGCCCAAAAAGTGTCCACAATAATATGGCACCCCACTGTATGCTTCATAAATCATCGATTTCGTTATTCGTCTTAGGTTTTGCCATCTTTTATAAGTTTCATCATTCGTCAATTCGTTCATAAATCCCTAAATGTTATTCATCAAAGACGTTAGCATTAGTATTTATTGAAAGTATTTGCATCCATCCTCGCTTAAAATTCATTTCTTAGAAATTTTTAGCAAATTTGGCATTGCCGAAATGCAGTTTTGATCTAGCTTTGGTAGAAAATCCGCCTCTGATCAATCAAAGCTCAAGCCAACAAAGCATTCTCTCGCTTCCTTTTGTTTTTTTTTTTCGGGAAACATTCAAGTAATAATTCGAAAAAGTACCTAAATTATTTTGAAAAGTAAAAAAAAATGAGATTTTATTCAAAAATAAATGTTGGTCTACGCCTTAACAAAGATTCTAACTCCAAGAATTATTGTTCAAATTAGACCACATCTATGCTAAATTTGAAATTTGCAAAGATGTTCAGTTGTTCTATGTCCGGTCTTAGGGCAAGTTATCAATTATAGAATTCCTGCATAGGTTCCGAACAAGGTTCGGGTTCGATGAAAAAAAAACTTAAAATCCCAACAAGTAATTTAAACTCGCCTTGTTATCATTATGTATATTCGTATAATTCAGTTAGAACAGACTAGAATTTGAGCTATATCTATCTTCTTATCATGAGTTGTCCACTAAAACAAAACTGCAAAATGATAAAGTCGCTTCGGTAAATTCATTATACATTCGTCCATAACCTTTTAAAAAAAAATAATAAAAAAAATCACTTACTTTTCTAAATAACGTTAATGGAACGAAAAAAAAAAAAAAAAAAATTATATAGAGAAAAAGATTGTAGAGATAGTTGTCTAATAATTATACGTATGGTAATTAAGTAAGTATATCATATTAGGGAACTTCCACTTATTACTGTATTATGTAAATATAGCCCCCTAGAGTCAGTCGTTTGACACAATCATTTGACAATTTGTAATTGTCAAACAATTGTGTCAAACGACTGACTCTGGGGACTATATCTACCTAATATCTGGAAGCTCCCTTATATAGAAATCAAGCAGATTGACATTTAAAAAAAATTAATCTCTTAATTTTCACTCGATGAATCTTGATGAATTAATATTCAAAAGAAAGGTCTTAAGCTTTCTTTTGAATATTAATTCATCAAGATAACCTCAAAATTCATCGAGAGATAAATTATTAAAGTTAAGGGATTAATTTTTTAAAACGTCAATCTGCTTGATTTCTATTGACGGCAGTCCAAATATATAATATATGATTGAATAATATATTGATATTGGTTTAAGAGTTTGGGATTTGTGGAAAAACTCAAACTATAACAGTTTTGGATTTGTGCGGCATACCATATCGATCAATAAAATTTTTAATATTTCAAGTGGTATGTACTGTACATAGTCTTATATATCAGATATACCAATTTTGAAATATATCGATATGTTTGAAAATGTTAAGAACGCAATAAGTATATCAGATATCGAAAATTCATAATCAGCCACCTCGGCACAGGGACGAGCTGCGGTTAAGAAAAATTCTACTGTTCCTTTCCCGCTCAGTAATTACTTGACCTATCGATCTGTGTAACGAAAAAACAAAAAAAGTTTTTTTTGCAACACAATTCTGCAAGAAACCAGCTACAAATGTCAAATCTTGGCTTTTGAGCAATTCCGACCGTCGTAAATTACGCGATGAACTGATAAAACGTTTCTCGGAACTCGCGACTTACGAAACAAAACAAGGCGAACAAAATCTTTCTATCCTTCCTGATCGCATTCATAGAGCTAATATAACCACTTATAATGATTTGCATGGAATGTTATATATCGAAGAAAAAAATCCAACATGGCTTAGATTCGATAAGGACAAGAGAGATATGATAGTACCTAGTGGTAATTGCTTATCAAATTTTTTTTTTTCTTTTTTAATCGTTAAAAAGTATATAAATGATTTTTTAAATTAACCTTTAAAAAAGTTTACACACTATGGCGTTTTCCTAATCTTTTGCCAAAGATCCCCACATTTGCACCTGTAATCTCAAAATTAAGTGGTGGTGCAAATTTAATGATTCCTGGTATTGCTTTCCCCCCTAAAGGATTGCCGGATGTTGGAGAAGGAGAACTCGTATCTGTTACTATTAGAGGATCTAAGTAAGTTACTTCTTGAAATATTTATTTGTTAAATATTTATACTTGGAAATTATTTCTAATTCTGTAATTTATTTTATTCAGTTATCCACTTGCCGTAGGATTCATGTGTGTATCTACTAACACACTTAAACCTGGTTCAGTAAAAAAGGGTATCGCTGTGCAAATCATTCATATTTATCAAGATCACTTGTGGAGCATGGGAGATAAAAGTCAACCTCCCGAGGATGAGGATGTTAAAATCGATTCGGTCACTCAAGATCAGGAATTTGTGGAACAGACCTTTAATGAAGTGAAAATTGCAGATGAGACAATTGAAGAGAGTAGTGAGATCTCTGATCCGCATGCAAAAACAACAAATGTTCAGGTTTATGATGAAGAACAGAATATTGAAGTCTCATATGAAGAAGAGTTAGAAACTAAAAATAGTAGCATTGAACAACCATCTACCAAATACACTACTGCTGGTAATTTAATTTCTTATAATATATCTTTCACATAAATCAATTTATAATCGACTTTAATCTAAAAGAAGTCGATAATCTTTTGCAGGCATCATTTTATCAGGCTCTCTTAAAAAAATTGACACCAACTGGAACCTTACCTCTCACAAGTTCGCAACTTTATTCTGCGTACATTCTTCCATCACGTCCGGTTGGATCAGATAACGATGTTGATGTAAAAAAATCTAGTTATAAAAAAGTAACTACTCTTTATTGGTTCTATTTATTTAATATGTGTTAGCTGTATTCTTTTATAATACTTATAAATAAAACTAATGAATATCTTTTATTTGGTTAGATTACAAAATTTTTAAAGGCGATGGATAAAAAAGATGTTGTCAAACTCAAAGAGCAGCATGGTGATACTCTCTTGGTTGGTGTTAAGTGGGATCACGACGAGTAATATAAATTATTATATTATGTAATATATATATTATTATTATTATTTATTATTATTTACTAATTACGTTAGTATTAATTTTTTTGCAGACTTAAATTGTTTAAAACTCATAAAACTATTGAGAAAGCATCTATTTCTGCCTCGAAATCGCAAATCAAGAATGATGAAATATCTTCAGACTCTAATAATGTGGACCAAATTAAAATTACTGAGGTCTTCATGCCCAAAGGTGCTATTGGTGAACTTTTCCAAATGCAAGGGAAAAGGTTCGACGTCGGAATATTTGCTTAATAAAGTAGTTATTCAACCGATATCAAAATTAATTATTTTAATTGTCCATTTAAAAGTATAGATGAAGTTTATGAATATAAGGAAGTATCAAAAATAATCCTTGATTACGTTACATCGCATGATTTGGCTGACAAGAAGAACAGGAGGTTGTGCACATTTTATTACTTTATTATATTCATCTCGATACATTAACTAATAATCTTTTTACATTGACTTAGATTTGTAATTCCTGATGAACAGCTTTGTAAAATTTTTGCAAGCAAGCAAGGAGAACCTGTACCTGATAAAATGACACGAAATGATTTAGTATATCATGTTCAAAGTCGTATGGATGAATACCATTCAGTAACCCTACCAGGAGATAAACATCGATTAAAGTTGTAGCTACTTTTTATTCACGTGTCATGTATAAAACTTTTTTTCGAAAAGTTGATTTGACATTTAAATTTAATATTTGCAGAAAAGGACGACCTAAGAGTATACAAATTTCCGAGGCACGTCGAATGGGAAATAAGATAGTTACTATTATCAAAGGTTTAGAAGAGTACGAAATTGATCCCAAAGATTTGATAGAACCTCTCAAAAAGTTATGCGCGAGTAGTGTTGCTGGTAATTTTTGACTTATAATTTTTTTGATCACATAAGTTACTATTATTTTTATATACATAATTCATTTATATATATAATTTATAGTTCTTCAATCTCCGCAATCATCACCCAAGAAACCGCTGTCTGAATTAATGGTTCAAGGACCTCAAACTAAACAAGTTAAGGAATACCTAGTCAGTTCCAAGGGATTTCCAGAAAAGTATATTGAGATTATTAAAATGAAAAGTAAGGATAAAAAATAATGAGAAAAAAGGATAAGTTTTGTATTTTAGAAAAAAAAAAAATTGTAATTACATTTAATCTAGATTAGCTGTATTTAATTAATTAAAATTTTGGTAAAAAAAATGTCTGGAGGATACATGATTTTTACTATTATTATAACCCATCTGTCCGTTAACATAAATTACTTTGATATAAATAAACCAAATTATTCATCTTGAATATATATTCAAAATTTATCTTAGAATTCACTTATTTTTTTATAACAATTTTAATATTTGTTTTAATACTAATACAATATGTACCTGAAGTTCACAAAAGCCATTGGACATAATTAAATATTAATATGTTCTTTCAGGAAAAGTGACCCTGATACAATTAATTTCCGCACATAGACAGTGAACACGAATCTAATAATAATTTATAAAGGGTAATAAAAGAATTAATGAACGATTATAATTCATAATTCAGTCGCTGGTATAACAAATAAATGGAAGGCTCAAGAATTGAATTTAGCATTGTTAATCAGCATAATGCAAAAACATTATCGTTGAGTTAAATTTCACATGCTTTATAATCTATATTAAAAATTTCTTTATAATCGCTCAATTTTTTCTTTTTAAAATAAATATAATATTTTTACATAAAAATTATATTACTATTATCAGATACGATATGTTTCAGGCTTATTTATTTTTTATTGTTATTATGCTTACGATAAAACATTAAGTTATTAATAGATTAAAAAAAACAATTTCAATAAAAAATTTTAATTAATTCAAAAAAAAACGCTTTATTTATTTATTTATTAAAAATATACATATACATAATTTTCTATATTATACTACAGTACTACATAGTTTCGATTATATAACTTTTACAATTATGACCGATAATTTTTGTGTTAAAGAATACTTAGTTTCAGCTAAAAAAGAAAAAAAAAAAAAGAAAAAAAAATAGCTTACTTGTCCTAGTCACCACGTAGAGGTGTATCCTATGACTAGGTAAATGTCTTGACAAAGAACTCGCGAAAAACCCAAGTGAGCTGGGAATTTTATCAAACCTCAGCTTCTCGAGCAAAAACTGATTAGA